GTCGTCAGGCATTGTCAGGCATTGTTGTCAGCGTGACAGGGCGTCGCGTCAGCATGTTGCCTTCCATTGCGGTGCAGCACGCGGATGTCATAGTCTTGCAGGCGCAGTGCCCACCGGGCAAGACGGCCTGAGGGATCTTTCAATGACGACAACCAGCATAGTGCGTGATGGTCGGTGACGACATCAAATGGGCGACCATACAAATAAGGTCGGAACTTTGCAAGGGCCCAGACGATTGCCAAACATTCTTTCTCGGTGACTGTGTAATTAGTCTCGGCTTTCGTAAGCGTACGGCTGGCCACGACATATTCCGGGAACGCTGGTTTGCGCTGCGCAAGGACAGCGCCAAGGTCGACACCACTGGCATCCGTGTGTATCTCTGTAGGGGCCGTCGGGTCGTAGTGGCGGAGTATGGGGGGCGATGTCAATAAACGACGAAGTGTTGTGAAAGCGTCGTCGCACTGTGATGACCACGAATGGAGAGGCCCATTACTTCCGAGAAGCTTCGTCAGCAGCGATATGATAGTCGCGAAGTTTCGAATGAAGCACCGAAAGTAAGAACACAGTCCTACAAAACTGCGCAGTTCTTTGACGGATGTCGGCTTGGGGATCTCTCTCACGACCCAAAGCCTGGCTGGATCTAAGAGAATTCTGTCCTTGGACACGACGTAGCCGAGTATTGTCAGCTGCCGAGCTGCAAATCGGCACTTCTTTAGGTTCAGTTGCAGACTGGCGTTTCTCAGACGCGTTAAAACATGCCGAAGGCGTTGAAGATGCGTCAAAAAGTCCGGAGCAAAAACGACGACATCATCGAGGTAGCACAGGCACGTGTGCCATTTCAGGTCACGCAGAACAGTATCCATCATGCGCTCAAAGGTGGCTCGCGCATTGCAGAGCCCAAACAGCATGACGTTGAATTCGTACAAGCTGTCGGGGGTGACAAAACGGTCTTCGGTCGAGCGTCCTCAGCCATAGGTACTTGCCAGTGCCCTGAGCGTAAATCGAGGGATGAAAAGAATTCTGCTCCTTGCAGGCTGTCAATCGCATCATCTACCCGCGGTAGTGGGTACACGTCCTTACGAGTGATCTTGTTGAGGCGTCGGTAGTCCACACAGAACCGCTCAGAACCGTCCTTCTTCGTGACGAGAACGACAGGAGATGCCCAGGGGCTGCTAGAGAGGCGAATAACATCGCGGCGAAGCATGTCATCGACTTGCTCGTTGATTACACGGCGTTCTGTGGGGGATACGCGATATGGACGTTGCTGCAGCAGTGGCTGTGCGCCTGTGTCGATGCGATGCGTAACGGTGGATGTGCGGCCGAGGGAAGGTTGAGCGACATTGAAAGAAGAGCGGAATTCTTCCAACAGGCTTAAAACCTGGGAACGCTGGCCCGGCGTAAGGTTGTCCGGTATGGAGGGACCGAATACATCATCGGATGATGAAGCAGATGTCGAAACAGCACTAAGCTTACAGGAACTTGAGCTGTGCATGTCATCGGGTTGATCCATAACTTGCGCATCTTCGATGCGTTCCACGCTGCCGAGACATTCCCCTCGCACCAACATAACGCTGTAGGGAGACGAGTTCACAACAAAAGTAGTGGTGCTGCCGTGAGTGAGTTGCACGGTCGCGAAAGGAACCAGCAAGCTTTTTCTTATGAAAACACGGTGAGATGGCAAGAGGAGTGCAGCAGTGTCAGAAAGGCTTGCGCAGTAGAGCGACACCGCCACGGACGAGTTTGCAAGCACTTGAGTGTCGTCTCTGACGAGTAACTTGCTTGCAGCAGATGGACTGTCGGCCGGTGTCAAAGAAGAGAATTGCGTGAGTTCTATTTCTGCTTGTGCACAATGAATGACGGCGTCGTGGCGGGAGAGAAAATCCCATTCTAGGATGACGTCGTGAGAGCATGAAGAAATTATGATGAATTCGACCGCATACATCACGTCCTGAATCTAAGGCGGGCTGTGCACATCGCTGTAGGGTGAATGCTTTGGGCGCTGGCTGTACGGAGGGAGAGTCCGCAAAGCGGCGTGGTCACTTTGCGCAGTAATCGGCTAAGTTTTTCGTCCATCACGGATACGGCGGCTCCAGTATCTACAAGGGCAGATGCACGAACGCTATTCACGAGCATGTCTATCACGTTCGACGGGCTTTCCTGAGGGCTTCCGCAGTTCGACAGCGTCGCAGCCCTTGCCTTGTGGACTGCGACGACTAGTTTTTCTGGTCGCCCTCGAGTGGACGTGACCGCATCGGCGACAGTGAGCGACGTCGTGGAGATGGTGAATGATGGGTAGACGGAACGGGGCGGGACGACGGTGACATAGGTGGCGGTTGGTCATAAGAGCGGCTTGACTGGCTGGAAAAGTTGGAGGCGACCTGCGGTTGCTGCACACGATTGCAATATCGTGCGACATGACCAACGCAACCGCAAGCAAAGCAGATGGGGCGATTGTCAGCAGTGCACCATCGGTTCGCGGGTCCCATTCATGTCGCAGAACGCGATTGGCGAGCCGGCTGCTGATATGAGTGCATGGTAGGCGGCACTCGGGGCACGTGGGTGACGCCGAGGTATGTAGGCGAGACAGTTTCTCCAAAGGCCTGGGGCCTCGCGGCGGTTTCGGTGTTCGACGGAACAGCGACGGAAATCGGTAAGGGCGGCCTGGCGACAACTCTGGCATAGCTGAGTAGCACAGATGCAGGAGGCGGCTGGTGGTATTCAGGAATGGCCTCCGCGATTTCCTGCTGAATGGCTCGGCGGAGCGGAGGTAGAAGTGTACTTGATGGTTGTTGAGCATGTTGTGGGGAAGCAAAAGCCAGTAAAGAGACCTGGCGGGCAACTTCCTCACGCACGAACGACTTGATTTCGGCGAGCAAGGTTGCATGGTCAGGAAATGCTGACAAGACTGAGAGATCAGCATCATGTGGTGGAGGTCGACGGGTCATCAAACGTTGCCGCCGCAGCTCGTCGTAACTTTGGCATAACGTAATGACTTCTGCCACAGTGCGGAGGTTCTTTGCCAGGAGCATGGTGAAGGCATCGTCGGCGAGCGATGCCTTTTAGAACATGCGTGATTTTGTCAGCCTCTGACATGTTCAGGTCGACTTTCTTGCACAAGTCAAGGATGTCCTCGATATAACTTGTGAAGGACTTGCCGGTCTGCTGGGCTCGTTCACGTAAACGCTGTTCAGCTTGCAGCTTACGAAGGCCGGACGGTCAAACACGTCGACAACAGCGATTTTAAAAGCGGACCAAGTCGGAAAATCAGATGCGTGGTTGTTGTATCACATGCCGGCCACACCCGCGAGGTAGAAAAACAGGTTGCCGAGTTTACCTGCCTCGTCCCAATGATTGTGGACGCTCAAGCGTTCGTACATGGCCAGCTAGTCCTCGACGTCAGTGCCATCTGTGCCGGTGCAGACAGGAGGGTCGCGGATGCGGGGGACACCGGGACATGGCGTCGGCGTAGGAGGAAGCGTTTGCTGGGCGGCGTCTTGGGTCATGGTTGAAGGCACGGTACGGGATCGAAGATCCGAGGGCATCGAATTCAGACCGAAGGTGTTTGAAGGGCACAGCACTCTCCACCAAATTGTTAAGAGGTTTATTGGTGGACACTCCGCGATGATTCAGGACAGCGACAGTCAATGCGGGACCGACTCTCTGCACGAGCTGCTCTTCTTCTTATGAGAAGGGCGACCCACTAGAAGGTGCTGGAGAGGACGACCCACTGTTCAAAGGCTTTACCACATAATGGACAATTGTCTCTTGTTTTCTTGATACGTTCGATAATTCAGCATTCCCTTGAGACAATCTTTTGGTCTCAAAAATTTGTAATAACAAGATATTATTGCATATATATGCATTTAGCTTGGCCTAAAATTGGAACATTACAGCTGCAGTGTTGAAAAATGCAAGTGAAAATGCACTCTTCATTTACAGAGCTGCTTAAGAGGGTCATTACTCTTCATCTTTTGAAGCTTTAAGAAGTGATATCTCATGGATTTAATAGTTTGAAATACGAGCCGGGTACATAGACAGAGACAGCAAAGACTTGTCCGTGTCTCAGCTGTCCCCATATGCATATCGTGTTCGTATTTCAAACCATCATCAACTCGCCAAATTAAGCATGGTGGCCTTAGTTTGTGCAGGCATACCCGGTCTTACATCTGGCTACATTGCAGTGCTTTAAGCGCTGTTCTTTTTAGTTTTGCATCATTAATGTGTGAAAGAGTGGCACGTACAGACATATGCTGTTTAGAACATGCCAGCTTTCATCAATCAGTGTGATGCCAGTGTCGCTACTGTTTTTCTAGAGTAATAAAAGGGGTGGGGATAGAAGGAGACTCTTGATTACAGGGCTTGCTGGCTTCAGTCACACCACTCAATACTCTACATTCTTAAAGTACACTAACACACACTCCGTTGTAATCTCCACTTCGTTATATATAGATTATTTGTCTAAAAAAATCATACTTGACATGGTATACGTACTTTTATGTATTTGATGTATTGTATACATACAATCCGTTGTTTGCATGGAACAATGCTGCAAGATACTGCAAATGACTTATCACAAATATGTTTTCTTCTTATATTTTGTTTCGATTTTTTTTTTCTTTTTTTCTTGTATGATTGAAGTGTACTTATAAAATATCTGCTTTGTTAACACAATCTGTTCCTTTATATGCATATTTATTTAGACCCCCTGCTAGCCAGTGGCTATGGGTCTAACCAGTGTTGTGTATTTTCATGTAATAAGAGAACCTGAAGTAAAATAAAATGAAAAAAAAAAGAATGAAAGTGAGCCCTGTCCGCATGTGCTCATTTGTCGCTGTGAAGTTTCTCGCACTGCTTATGCTATTATAGATGAATAAAGACCAACTATCACCCACCTTCTAGTTTTCTTGGGAGTGATCACTTTAATCCCCGCTTTGAGCTCCACCAAGTATGTGTAAATAGAATAGATGCCAAAGTGAGCTGGGTTTTTTTTTTCTCCCCAGTGGCTGGACCACCTGCGAGACCTGCCGACATTGCTGCGCCATGTGGGCTCCGAATTCTTCTCCATGGGCGGCATCATGTACATGTTTCGATTGCGCATTGTGCTCTGCTTTGTGGCTGCCATCATGTACCTCATTTCGCCGCTGGACATGATTCCGGAGGCCATCTTTGGCATCCTCGGTCTGCTAGACGACCTGTTTGTGGTGCTGCTTCTTGCCATCTATGTGACTGTCATCTATAGGCGGTTCCTGGCCACTCGTTGGCAAGAGGACACTACCTGAATTTGACTACAGAGGCGTACTGTGATGCGCACTGTGTACACGTGACTAGGTGTGCTACAGTTTCTAAGGAAACCATTCTGGGCGTCTTTTATCGACAATGTATGGTTATGGTGCACTCTAATTTACAGGGATTTCTCCTGTTATGAAATGCTGCTGCAGACATTGTAAGGTATGCAATGCTGCAGGGCACTGCTCGGTATTCGCGCACTGCTCCTAACTCTCTGTAGGGCAGCGTTGATCATTGTACACTGTCAGGTGAGTGGTGCCAGTCGTGACTATGAGAAAGCCTTTGTGCAAGCGACAGTAGCTCAGACAGGGTATCGCAGATGAGTTAGGGCATGCTGTCCTTACAGCGGTGTTTGCCTCCACATTCTGCAAAAGTCCACTCAACTAACATTGCACCTACTGTTTGTTACGAAATAAATCCTTGTTATTCAAAAAATGAGCATTCTCATATTGGTGTGCATCTAGTTCTGTTTCACTGCACTGCAGTGTGCAATAAGTTAGCTGCTGTGTAAACCTTGAAACCAGAATTATTGCCTGCTTGCTTACCTGCCTGCATTCGTAACATTCCGCTGTGAAATTTAAGCACCTTGCAATCCTAACCCTTTGCAAGCGCCTTAGGTGACAGCTGGCACGCCCGCATCGGGAGAACAGGAAGCAGTCATGCTTGCTGGATTGAGCTGCAGCATCGAAGTGGTGGTTGCATCGCTAGGTACCATGTCCCAAGAAAAAAATATGGCTGTAATTGAGAGTTGATATAAGCATGACATGGGGATAGGAATGCTGATGCAATCGTCCCAATAAGCTACATCTCTTTAAAGCTGCTACAGTCATGTTACAAATGAAGGAAACGGCGCAGTGCTGCCCGCAATCTACCGGTCGAGTGGGTGACCTCAGCACCACAGCGATGGCCAAGCCCTATAAGCATTCGAGCAAGGGCGTCCACATCAGTTGCTCCTGGTGCTGGCGGGGCGACCTTTAAAATTGTGGCCTTCAAGAGCCCATGGAACAGTTGAAGCGATCTGAAGCTACCTCGTAGACCTAAAGCCAGATAATTTGTCATCCATGCCAGATGTGCTTAGAGTGTGTTTTTCACCACAGTATGAAAAGTACCATCACATTTGCTTCCTTTTAGGCACAAAGTTCCTTAAGGCGTAGGTCGGTCCATCCCTTGTATGTATGTATGTAGTAGTACATAGCCACCGGTGGCACATACCCGCATCCCTTGTATGTATGTATGTAGTAGTAAATAGCCACCGGTGGCACATACCCGCTCTAGAGCGGGTATGTGCCACAGGGGATGCAAGATGGAAGATGGTGGTACTTGGAGTGTTTACTAGGTGGACGCACGCACGGATGGACAGACTCACTAGCAGACGGACGGACGGATGGACACACGAACAGACTGTCAAACAGATAGATGGACGGACGCATGAACAGACGGAGGGATGCATGGAACGACGCACGGATGGTCGCGCGGACGGGCGAAAGCAAGAACGAACGGACGGACGCTTAGCTTCACTCAAGATCGTTCACTCCGTGGATATGCTGTGATTTTTTTCTAAGCTCCCCGGCATAATCAAGTCCAGTGTGATTAACACAAGCACAAACAGCACGGGAGACAGGGGCGGATCCACTCACCCACATTAGGTGGGGGGGGGGGCGGTTGCTTGAATTAACACCGGAAAAGGGAGCATGGTCATTAGTTTTCTAGTTTTACTAGCACAAAATCCTAGTAATGGCATAAATATTGTTCATCTGTGCTCACAGTGGTCACTCATTTGTCCTAACGGGTATAGCTGGTGGACGGCAAGCACTGAAAAGAGGGCGAGGAGTGCTGAAGGCTTTGGGGGGGGGGGGGGGGGTGCGATCAACCCTACCGCATTCTCTGGATTCGCCACTGACGGGAGAGTGAAAGAACAGAGAAAGGTGTTGTCATTTTGTCAGCACCTTCGTCTGTCGTTCTCTTACTGTACTGTGTTCTAGTTTTTTTTTTTTGGCATAACACATACAGGGTTTGCCCACGAGGTAAGGCCAAAGGAGGACTTAAACCCCCTGACTAGGCCGTACCTCGCTGGGTTTTGTTATCATTATTATGTACCATTTGTATTTGTTCTAGTTCTGGTTATCATGTACCAAGCAAGGCAGTTAGGTGCACTTCTACAAATCCAGCATGCAATGTCACATTATTTCGTGTGCCGATGTGTCAGTGCGGTCATGCTTAAAGGGACACTAAAAAGTAACAATGGATTGACCAGCTGCATTATGAGAAGTGCAATGTTGTATGTTCCACTATCATTATTTCATTATTAGCGAAGAAAATCAAGGTTGAAGTTTCAATTCAAAATTTCACACCAAGATATCCACGCATGACATCAAAAGTTTCAAAATTTATTTTATTATGCTTGCAACATTGGCTGCATGAAATTTTGTGAACGTTGGTATGCCAGGCCTATGGCACTGACAGATGACAAATTAAGTGCTGACCACTTCTAACGTAACCGCTTATTATGCTGAACCAGTATTAATGCGGTCTTTTTTGGCACCCGTTTACCCGACCATAAGGATCTGTGTATACACACGCCGCTAATTGTGCAGTCGCCCGAGATGAAACACCAGTTATAATGCGGCTGCCGGGCAATCTTTGTGACAAGCACGGTAGCAAATGCTTCTAAAAGGAGGTGCGCCGCTGAGGATTAACGAGGTCGTTACGGAGGGTGGTGGTGGTGGTTAGAAGAAGGCGCCTAATTTCTGAAGACCTGTAAGGAGCACAGCACAGCACCTGCATGACGGAGGAGTGGACGCAGAGTCTACGAATGAAAAGCGGAGAGAGAAAAAAAGAAAAGTAAAAAAACCACAGCCCAAGCACTCTATACAAATGGTTAACCAGTGAAAGCTGAGATGTGCAGCAGTGAATTCAACCCGACGCAGCACTGAAGCTTTTCACAAATATTGGTTTTATGTTCATGCTATTCTTAACAAGGTTAAACACACGTTTGGCTTGAGTTTACCACCGTGTTTATTTCACATGGCGCACGAGTGATTCCTTTCACATGCCGCAGGAGCCGGGAACTACCACGTCGGTACTTCCATGGCATTGTACCATGCATTGTACTGTTGTTCTGGAGACCGGTTGCCGTCGATCATTTCCAAGTTGTTCTTAAAACCCCGCCGCGGTGGTTTAGTGGCTAAACCACCGCGTACTCGGCTGCTGACCTGCAGGTACTCGGCTGCTGAACCGCAGGTCGTTGGATCGAATCTCGACTGCGGCGGCTGCATTTTTGACGAAGGCAGAAATGTTGTAGGCCCGTGTGCTCAGATTTTGGGTGCACGTTAAAGAACCCCTGGTGGTCAAAATTTCCGGAGCCCTCCACTATGGCGTCTCTTATAATCATATGGTGGTTTTGGGACGTTCAATCAGGTTGTTCTCGAAGTGCAAGCGGTCGTAGCAGAAGCCAAAGTGCCGCTGGAGACTGCCACCAAAAGCGGCGGGGAGAACACGCTCCCGTGATCATCGCGTTAACGTTGTTCTGCCTGCAACGCCGCTTGCTCAGCAGGGATTTTTACGTTTTAATAGTTTAATTCATCTCGCGACCTAACTCGGCGGTGTGGTTTACAGCAACCGCCCGCCACCGGCGCTTGCATTCCCCTTTGCAATCTAGCGCAGCTTGGAAGTGTGCTGGATTATTCGTTATGCAGTTGCTGTCGGTACTCAGCCTCCCAGGCCAGTTTCTGTGCCCGCTGCCCGGACAGCAGCTTCGGCCCAGCAAATGCGAGCTCTCACGCTTCCACTGTCGGTGCTCTTATAAAGTTCTCCGCTGTTCTGGAGTTCGTGCCGTTGTCAGATAGGAAGGAGATGCGGCGCTCGGAGGTGCTTTGTCCCAGAGTCTCACATAACTCATCAACCCATCATCATCCATACGTCTGTCCCGGCACTTCTTTCCCCCCAGGGTCATGTGAGAGGGAAGATTTGTTTTGGGCAAGTGACCATATCTTGGCAAGGGCCGGTGCCACTGCTCTGCGCCAGGCGCCAAACAGATGCGGCCTGCTTCCCGGCGTACAATTCAGGGAAACCCAACATAGAGGCTACCCTTCAGCCCAGTAACATCGGTCACAACACACAAAGGGAACGTACCCTGGCAAGGTGTGCTATCGCAGCGAGTAGGGTGCGCTGTGGTCACGGCCCGTCTACTGACCGCTAGGGTCTAGCGAGACTCAATCTGTCTGTTGAGGGCAACGGGGCTACTGTTTGGTGCAAAAACCAATGCCGCTGCACGCAAACCCAACGTACCCTGGTAAACCAGCACATTTAAAAGCTGTCTTAGTCCTTCACAAAAAAGGAAGCCACCCTCCGCCTCGGCGAGTAGAGTCGCTGGGCACGGAGAAGGGGCAAACACGAACCTCGCGGGTGAAGCCTGACAAGCTGACGGGATCAACATAGCGCATGCAAAACTCGGGCGAACAATCACAAAAGCTGTACTCAGGGGCGACCGGCTCACTAAGCTGAGTAGTGGAATTTTAAAGAATGACATCGTTAAAAATTGATGGCTATCTGCCCTCCTGACTCACTGAAAATTACTGCTGAATGGTGCCACATTTCATAAAAGTTTTCTGCACCTAGGCACTGCCACTCTCAGTGAAGAACGAATCAGACCTCCTCCCGTACTTGTGCAAGTACTTCGTGAAGCCCGGGCCGCTTCCCACCAAAGACGGCTCAGCACCGTGCCACCCACACTTACTAGGAGCACTCGACAAGCAGAAGCATGTACTGCTTAACCGCTCTTCCCGACAGGGGATGCAGAAAACAAACAGTGTTGAAAGGAACACCGGGGTGGCCAAACAAGCTAGCTATTCTAAGAATTCATTTAATTTATGAGCTATTATGTGTTCGATAAGCTTACAGCATGATGATGTTAAGGAGATCGGTCGATAATTTTGTAGTACTAGGCGGTCACCTTTCTTGAATATAGGAACTATTCGTGCCGACTTCCAGTCATCTGGCGATTCCGCTGACAACAGAGAGACTCGAAAAATGACGAGTAAGTATTTTGCAACAGACTCTGCAAAGCGACGCAGAAATATGTTGGGGATATTGTCGGGACCGCAAGAATCCTAGTCTTTAGGTTCAACAACATAACAACGACACCAGAATAAGAAATAAAGTTTACATTTGCAGCATTGTCCGCATTTATGACAGATGGGGAAGCACTAGGAGTAGAAAATACACTATGAAAATACTCATTGAGGTGTTGAGCAATGGCAGCCTGATCAGATACCATTGAACCATTGACAAAAACCTGTGATATGGGTTTCCTTTTTTCGCTAATATAGTTCCAGAACTTCTTTGGATCATTCTTTATGAAGTTTGTGAGTGACGTATTGAAATAGTATTCCTTCGAGGTGTGTACGGCGTGTGCAAGCTTATCTAGAGCATCAGCTATA